CCAGTCACTTTTCTTTGTTTTTTTTCCTTTTGATGTAGGGCGTTAAATGCACTTTGTATGTGATTTCACGGTTTTATGGCTGGCTTCTCCTGCGTTTCTCCTTGAAGAGAACTGAAATAATGGTGGCGTGGAGCACATGGGAGATGTGTACCCCAGGTACCCTTGACATTGGCCCAGCCTACTTGGAGGTCATCGCAGGCAATCTGAAACGTGGGCAGCCGCAGGACTCGCGACTGAAGGAAGGAAATCGAGATTGGCTATGCCTGGGCAGGTGCTGGATTTTCTAACATGCTAGATAAAGTCTAAACACTTTGTAAATTCAACAAAAAATATAGTTTTTAAAGAGCGATCAATAATCATATTTTTTTGAAGACTTGTTTCCTACAGTAAGCTAATTATTTTTAAAATAATTATAATTAAATTCAAATCAGTTTTAAGACCTTAATATTAATTCTACATATATTTGGTTTTATTTTTTAACGATTGAAAACATTAAAAACTGTAAATCATTTATATATTATAAGAACCTGCATATGTATATATAAAAAAATAAAAAAATTTCGAAGTCATGTTTAAGGATAGACATACATATATGTATTTCCCACATATCTAAATTATTTTTTCCAAGAACACCTTTTAATGTGCCCCAAGCTTTCAACGCGTTACAGAAATTCTGAAAGCTGCCTTTGGGATAAGAATACTCAAAATTTGGGTCACCACATCGCAAACACACTTTAATGTCCTGCCAGCCATATTCTCAACTTTAAACATCACATAAAGCACTTTCGGACAAACAACAACAAGCCGTAAAAAGGGAAAAAAACATGCAGAACAAGGTCAGCAGAGGAGCTGAATCTCGAATTTGGGAACCCAGGGCCAAAAGCCCAAGCACCAGTAAAAGCCAAACCCGTGGACCGATGGCCAATATATCACATGACGCCTACAATTTAAACTGCCAAAAAAATGAAATGCAAACTGGGCGAACGAAGAGAAATGGCAAACATTTATATAAATAACACCATCGACTCCAATTAAAGCAGTTTGCTGGACGATCTGAGTGGTGGGGGTAAATGTACTTTGTACGGATTGTGAGGGGACTGTGGAAGCTGCTGCGTTGTCTGTGCGTGATAAAAACCACAAAAACGAATTTTTGTTTATGTGTGAGCCAGTGTCTGTGCAATAAAAATGCAAAACAAAAGCGTTCAAATATGTTTGTGTTTTATTTTCTTTTCTTTTTTGCGAATGCCAAGGGTTGCCAGCGTGGGCGTGGCACTTGCAGTGCTAAAAGGGGCAGGGGGGTAGTAAGGAGGCGGGATCTGGGACAACCAAACCACTTCCAAATGTCATTTGCAGGCGAAGCAATGACGTACCGATGAGAAAACGCAGAATGTGGACTACGGGAAGAGTGAATCGGACAGAGCTAAAGTTCTTTGAAGATTACTGTCCGAAGTGAAGTTACACTCTAATGGAATTTTTGAATATTTAACGTAAATCAATTAGAACTTTTGTAGTTGCGCCCATTAGAAGAAGATAAAATAAGGACATTAAATCCAAATTTTAAAAAGACAACAAAATAAATAGCCGTTGATAATTTCTAATTTAGCTTAATGTTGGTATTTTATTAATTCTTTGCAGGTCTTAACTGCCCTCTAAAAGTTTAAGTCTAACATTCTTAAGAATGGATGGAACCCTATTTTGCATCAAGTTTTCCCCCAACGATTTCATTATCTTTCCACTACAATCACATACTCCACATACCCAACTATATGCAAAACGCTGAACACAGCGAGAGCGGCCAACAAGAAATGTTGCAGCAACATTTGGCAGCAAGTGGCGGGCGAGTCGAGGAAATAATAATTTATGCATGCGTTGTGGTGGCTCGATGGTGATGTTGGTAGGGGGTGATGGGGTGAGGGGTTTTGAGGGGCTGTGAGGGGCTTTGAGGGGGGCAGCGGTGACTGCACCCCAGAAACCGCAAAATGTTTCTCCTGGTTGTTGCAGTTGTCGGCGGCGCGCAAAAAGTGAATCTGAGCTGCAGGCGCTGATGCCTTTGCTGCAACCGGAAAACGGAAATTGTGGCCAGTTTCCCCTTGCCCCCATGCGAATTCATCCTACATCCAGATAACCACACAGCTCCCACCGCTCTCCAGCACTCAAGGATTTATGATCGGGCCGCCGTTTAAGTCGCGCCAATCTGCCGGCACTTCCTTCATTTTAATACACTCCCTCGCTGGCGGTTTTTGTCGCATACGAAAATCGACACACAAAAATAAAACCAATTTGCAATTAAATGCTTTCTATTTGCAAATTTACCAGGCCATTGTTGCCAAAAAAAAAAAAACAGCGACAAATACGCCCAACTGATGGAAACCACTGTTCTATTGAAAATAAAGTGAATGCGGGTTTGCAGAATGCATAGTGCGGTTCTAGACCAAAGGAGTTTCAAAGTTTTTAGTGTTTCAAATAATAAATATAAAAAATATATATTAAATAAAATATTTAATAGGCTTAATATAAATTTAGACATACCTTTCTTACTAATAAACTTAGCTTATACATTTTATATTTAATTTAATAAAATATTAAGTGAAAAGTTCAAAAAATTAATGAAATATCTTTTTTACCGTAGCGGTACCATATTTTAAGTAAATATAAAAACAAACAAATTAATTACAACCATTTAAGACAGACAGAATGTCATTTGTAGAAGACATTTATTTCAAAAAATATTGTCTTTTCTGCCAATCAATGACTTTTACACAAATCAAAGTCACTGCCAACAATCAAATATATCGGGAAGCAGACCACAACCCTTTTATTATTTTTTTAAAGAATACTCATGCAACACACACTTTTTGACAACCGGAAAAACTGTACCCCCATATTCGAAAATTTAGGGCCCGCACAAAGCAATCGCCAAAAAGAAAACCCTTCGGAAATTACAGAAAAATTGGAAACGAAAATCAAGCATATGAATTTAATTGCCTAAACAATTCTAATCAAGCTGTGCGGCCATCACAGGCCATCAAAAGGACACAAAAGGACGAAGATTGCTGATTGCATTTAATAAAAATATAATGTTGCCGCAATCGAACCGAACGTTGAGCCACGAATATCCACCACCGATCTGTCCGGAACAAAAAAAATAGAGAACATGTATGGGAGGAAATGGCAATCGAATGGGCATCAAAATGGAATCAAATCGAGGCACAAAATGAATGCGAAACGCAAAATTCACGACGACAATGCGAACTAAATTTCTGTCATAGAAAGCATGAAAAGGAGCAGCAGCAGTCAGAGTGGCAGGAAAATTGACATATTGACAGCCAGACAAAAGGTCCACCCCAAAAAGATGGGTGGTGTGTTGGGTGGATGGGGGAGGTGGAGATCGGTGGAAGGCCGTGTGATGCCGCACTGCAGTTTGATGGCGGCGTCGAAAATAAACAAACATTGCGACAGCAATAAAATATCAAAACAAGCCAATAGCAGCAGTGGGTTTGGAGGTGGAGGCGAGGGCGGGGCGGTACAACTGCGGCTTAATTGAGGCAACAGAAGGCCGTAGAAAAATCCAATCAAAACGCAATGAAAACAAGGATCGTGGAGGGGGCACAACCTCCCATTGTCCCGGGCAGCTGTAAACCTCAACTCGGTGTGTTGATGTTATCCTGGCAAATAATCAAACTGGCATACACACACACAAACACACACACAAAAACACACCAAACAAGCCAACAAGGACCTTGTCAAGTAGACATGTAAGCGATACAGATGGAGATAGTGGCCTCGATATAGACCAGGACAATTGCGGCACACGAATCCTGGCGGAATCCTCTCAAGGCTGCTGTTCCCAGTTGCAGTTGCATTTGCCATCCAGTCAACTAAATTCAGTGGAGCGTGTGGCAGCCACCCCTGGTGAAAGTACCCCTGACCTAATCCAATTTCAGGCACAACAGATAAATCCTGTTTTTGTTTTCGCTTACCACTGCCACGAAGTGCTGGCATTATTAAAGCCGAGAAAAGAAAACACACAAACCCGATAAGTATTTATTTAAATTGAATTTTCCACTTAGGACTAGTATATGTTGATCTAGATTGCAAAATAAAATGGTTAACCATTGCGTTGTAACCTAAACAACAGGTATTGCCTTTTAATTAAAACTCAATAATTCTTAATATTTAGGCAATATAACAAGACTTTTGTTGACTGAGTTTTAGGGCATGGTTTGTTTTCCACCTTTAAACTCCATTTCTGGAGCCATGAAAACCACTAAGCCCCCGCCAAAGCCCCTAAGCTATTAATAAAGACATCTACCCCCTTTCCGTATCCAAGAATAATGCCTTCCTCCTCTCAACTAATTTTATGGTTCGCCCATCAAAGCAGGGCCATGAACACCCCAGCACTGAACTACACCAGGCCAATCAAACCTCATGACCTCCGCCTCTCATAAAAGCCGCCAAATGTTTGGCATATAAAAACAAATAAGACAAAGCACACATAAACCACGCCCCCAACGCCCCCAAGATGATCAACATAGAGAAATTTGTTAGCGTGTTATGTAAATTGCACACGAGAGGAAAAACAGGCCTGGATGGATACATTATGTAAATAAAAGAAATAATAGGCTCACACGGATCCAGAAGCAAAGGCCAAAACGAATTGTGAGCATGTAATGTTTATTATTTTCATGATGCGTTGATGGCATTTGAAGTTGGGGTCCTGTTTCTTTAAGGATGTGTCGATAGAAACTGACATCCTGGTCGCTTTGAATTTTATTTTGTAATAAACATGTGTCAGTTAAAGTGACATTGCTTACTATTTAATTTTAATAAGTTGTGAACAGTCATAAACAAGGTTTTATAACTAACAAAAGGAAACCTTTAAAATCAAACTTTGTATTGTTCCCTGTTTAATTTATTGTGACCAAATTGTAAGAAAAATACAGATACAATGATCAGTAGGCTGCTCTAGAATTTAATAAAACTTCAAATACTGGCGAATATTCAGGGCACCAGTTAACAATTATATGTTTTGTACAAATATCTCATAACATACATAGGTATTTTATATTTAAGTAGCCAAAAGCTCAAAATTATTAAATAGAAGTTTCTTCCCAAATTTGTACCAATAACTGGAATAAATCCATTCGAACGAGCTTTTACCAGAAAATGAGTACCTCGATGTATATTTTTCGCAACAGTTTTCCCAAGTGGTTTATTCCACGTGCAGATCGTCAGGCGCAGAAGAGCCTACAGCTCCATATTTTCCGACAGTTACAGACGAACCACCCAACCACCAGTGCGGTGGCCATCAAGCCAACAGTTGAACAGGTGCTCCCGAAATGCAGATTTATGCAGTATCGCCGAGGCAATGAGCACCTGAAGCGATTGGGCATGGTTTCCGAGGACGGTGGCAAGATGGTGGAGTTGTCCAGCACCTCCTGTGCCGCGCCCAACATGATGGACTTCATCCATCAGCGGTACTGCATGGACAATCTGCTGGACAGTGTGCAGTTCATGACAATCGAGGATGTGGAAGCCGTGGATCTTCGCCTGCTGCCACCCATTGATTCACCCGGAAAGATCATCGGCGTCGACTGCAACTATGTGGACAACTGCGACGAGCAGCACATCTCCATCCCCAGGGAGCCCAGCTTCCATGTCAAGTTCGCCACCTCGATCACCGGAGCTCTGGACAACATCAAGGCGCACAGCTTGGCCAAGCACATCGACTACGGCTGCCAGTTGGCCGTGGTCATGGGCAAAAAGTGCCAGGAAGTGGCGCCCAAGGAGGCACTGAATTATGTCTTTGGGTTCATGGTGGTTCAGGACATAATGGCACGGGACCGGAGTGCCCTCTTTGGGGGTCACTCGATGGACACCTTCCTACCCTTGGGTCCAACGATTGTGCACCGGTGTCATGTGCCAGACGTAAGCCACCTGTGGATCAAGACCCTCGTCAACGGAGAGGAACGCCAGACGGGCAACACCCGGGACATGATATTCAAGGTCGACTTTCTCATTCACCGCCTGTCCCAGTACCTAACCCTCTGTCCGGGCGACATCATCCTCACGGGCACACCCGCCGGATCGGGTGCCTATCGTAAACCGACTTCCTTTCTCAAGCCCGGCGATCTCATCGAGAGCGAAATTCAAAATTTAGGCAGAATGTGCAATAAAGTCGTAAGTCCGTATAGCTAAAACCACGCATTTTATGGGTGAACGCATAAGTCCGGAAAAGTACTTATGAATGTTAAATCGCACATTCAATTTTTTGCCTACATTCTTATGTAAGTATACATCTACATCTTAAAGAACGTTGTTGTTATAAATATTGCTCATGAACATCAAAAAGTAAGGGTGCATTTCCATTTATTTTAATTTAAATCAAATATAAAATCATAATGTTAATTACAATGCATATTAAATAGCATTATTTAATATTAATATTTAAAATTTTAAGCCGAAACAAGAAACAACAAATTTTATCTAATTTGAGATAAATATTTTAAAAAAATATGAAGCATGAGAAATTAAATCCCTTGTTAAAAAAAAATATATTGGAATAGTTTTGTTTTCATTTGCAAATAAAATGACTCTGCATACAATATGTTCTCAACGAGAGAAATCATTTAAAATCTTATAAAAATCACACATGGCCCCGAACATTCCACAAATGCCGACATCCCCATTATTGGCCAATAAATTTGTGGTGATGCCAAGCCAAGCAAGAAGGCAGATAACCATGTCACAAGGAAAAGAAGCTTCTGCCGGAATCCTAATATGCAACGCGGTAGTGATGGGAGTGGGAGAATCATTTTGTAATATAATTTGTTTTGCCACAAAGATTGGGGGTGTTGGCTACAATTTTATGATACGCCCAAGCATAATCAACATTATCCTCAGAGAGTCACAAGCCGCAAACAGGGCGCCTACAAAAGGCTACAAAGACTGGATGCTGGAGGCTAGAGACTGGAAGCTGGAGGACTTCCCGCTGCGAAAGCCACGGCGCATTATCATCTCATTGCACAGGACTTAATCCTGCGGCAAGTTATTAAAGCGTAACGCGTTTCGCTCTTGTCCTTTTGCCAAAGTCCCGCTCCTGCGCCTTGGATCCTTGTATCCGGGGCTCCCCTTTTATTGTTCGCGCTGCGCTTAACTTGTTTCGCATTGAAACAGGACCAAGGAGAAAGGAGTCCTGGCTGGCGACTGGGTCGGTGGGCGATGCCGCCTTAATGCTAAATGATCCAATATCCTGTTTCCTGCATTTGTGCTCGGCAGCAGCGTTAAAAGGTCCTTTGTGGCCTCCGCTCAGCCTCCGTTCGCCATTATTTGCCTTGGCCAACTTAAAGATGTTTTTTCTCCCTTAGCGCCAACTTCTCCTCTCAGTTATTTGCTTAGCCAAAAGGAAGATTTCCATCTTTCCATCGGCGAAAAAAGTGACGGGGAAGGGGGTCCACATAATTTTGTATCTTTTCTTTGCGCACGGCAACTTAAATAGCTGAATGTAAAGTTTTTAATTATGCAACTCAACGCTGACGATGTCGCATTGTGTGCCAAGTGCGCCTTCCCTCCTCTCTTCCCGTTTATGGCAACTAGTGAGCTGGCCAAAAACTTAAAATACACATAATTAGCCATAGTACTGAGTTTAGTTTTATTTTCTGACCGTTTGTTCAGCGACAAAAATTCGCCACCCACTCGCTCATTGTGTGCAGTGTGTATCTTTGGGATATCTTTTGGGCTTAGTTCGCTTTCCCTTCATTTTTGGCCCAAAAACTAGGCCAGTTTCCTTCCGAAAGTTTGTGTTTAGTTTGGCATGGAAAACGACGTTAACAAAGGACTGGACTAATTAAAGGAAAATATTAATTGTTGTATAGCAGCTAAATTGGGAAGGAAATAATATATTTTTAAATTTTCTTGCAAGCCATTCAACATTAAAACATTTTTATCTAAACATTCTAAATTATAAATTTTTGTTAATTGTATTTTAAGGTAGCATTATCACAGCCAAATGAAATTATTAATTTATTTTTTCTTTGTTATTCTTAGCTTTATTGCACTTACTAAAAAATATAGTTTATAAAGGTATAAGTAGATCTCGTAATCATTTCTTTAGCTATCATTTGTATACCCATAATTCTACTATTGACACAATACTTACTAAAAAAATTCGTTTAAAATTTTTGGAAAATGTTCACGAGATCAGGTAATCGAGTAGTCAAAAGAAACTACAAGTAAAAAACATTAAAAATAAATAACTATAAATTTAACCGAGGATCTACCATTTCCAGCCATACGTCCTTTGACCATTGCCACTTTCCGTTCGATTTCCAACCATTCCGCTAGAGGAGGTATCAAACTTCAAGGGCATGGACATCCTGGAAAGGCTCCTCTGAGCCTCCTGTCCGAGGAGTGGGTCAGAGGACCCCTTGGCGTCGGCATGTTGTCCTATTTGTGCTCCGAGGACTTCTGCGCCATGAGGTTCGAGAACAGCGGCCTGAATCTGTGCATCATGGAGGATGAGTACTACAGCAGTGGACTGATCCTGGGAATCATATCCGCACTCGCTGTGATGAAGCTGATCCCAGTGATCGCCAAGTGGACTGATGGCGAGATGAATGTAAGTCCTTGTTTAATATATTAAAATAATCTATATTTATTTTAAATCTTAAACTCAAACAAAATTTAAAGCAATTTATATAAGATAATATATAAATATTACCCAATTGTCTAGCCTATACCACAAAAAATCGATTCTGGCGCCCCTGAGCTCAAGGTCCTGTCCATCTTACCTCCACAGAAGAAAGATACTCTTAACAAGGATAATGCCAATGGAAGCGAAAAGTCCAACTAAACAATTACATTTTTGTGTATTTTACTTAATAGGGTAAACCAAAATGATACTTTGTTTAATAAAATTTCAAAAAGTCGGTGTGTAAACAGCCTTTTTTGACTGTAAATTGAAATATATGAGAGAAATTTAATCGACTTCTTTTTTTTGCAAGGATATACCTAATAAATATTTTATAATTAAATTATTTGCCAGATCGTATAAATATAATTGAAAAGTATACAATAAATAACCAACTTTCCGTTTTATTATATAAAATCAAAATGTATCTATCCCAAAAAATAGAGTACAGAGGTAAAACTTAATTTGTACCTTAATTACTTAGCTATAACTAAAGTCTTGCTTTTCTGTCACATTCCTCAAAGAGTTTGTGCTCAAGTTGTCATACCCCGAAAATAACACCGCCTTCGGGTTTCACAAAAAATTTGGAGAAGTAGCTCGTCTTGCATGCCTGCCACATTTTATCCCAGGCATGATATCGCCGTCCGAAGCCCACTTTTTAGATGAAAGGTTAGCGCGGGATGCGGGGGGACAAGCACATAAAATGTTACATGTCGTAATATTCACCACAAGCAACGCCAATGCCAACGACAGAAAAGAAACAACCCGAAGTCAAAACATGCCAGGGAACATGGCATTGAAAGCTGTTGCCAAACAAAATAAACAAAATAAGGGAACCGACCAGGCACAGGCGGCAACAATGAACAAATGCCAATGGGAGCAAAAAGAAAACAAATTTTCCTCTCGCTTTTCCTCTGGCACGACATAATCTTTTTAACCATTTTGTATGGGGGCTGAAGGGCACTTTGTGGATATGACACATATCCCGGCTGAAGTCAGTGCCGAAGTATGCAGAAATTTGTTTTGTTTTTCGGCTCCTTTTTTTTGCTGCTTTGTTATACATAATCCTTGAGAGGTGTGACATTTGTATGTATAAATTTCAACTTTGATCCGCAAAGGATAACCCTCGGGTGGCCAAAGCCAATTGCCAGGCACGAAATCTAAATAAACACACAAACACACAGGAACAGAAAGCAAACGAGTCCCAAAGAAAAATGTGGCCACGTTTCGTGTGCGCGAGATCTGTGGCAGAACTCCTCGAGTTCCAGTTCCAGTCCCAGACCTCGAACTCCTCCAGACTTAAGTTGTCAAAATCAGCACAAGATTCCTGCTCGTGTGTATGGGAGGAAAATGTTATTTTCTTTTCATTTAACTGTCATGTACTTTGCATACACAAAAGCCAGCTCCTGTCGGTGCCAAATTGAATGCCCCTAAAGAGAAATGCTCCCTGCTTTGTTTACTCTGCACTTTCTTGCGTAGGTGTTGTGACATTTGACCGCCGCCGTCTGCCAAACATCAAAAGAAAACTCAGCTTGTTTTTATTCTCTTTTTAGGGGACATTAATCATACCTTTTTGGGCATTCAAATGAACAAATTGACGATGCGAAATTGAATTTTTGGCATGAACAAAGAACTGTATTTGTCCAATAAAATTTAATTTCAAGAAGTTTGTGGCATTGGTCATTTGACCATCTTGTTAAATTTGCACAAAAATATGTTTAAGGCTTGGAGAAAAAATAAGGAGAATCAAATTTGCAAAAAAAAATTAAATTTTTAATAAAAAGATAATTTTCCTTAAGGGACAAGAAACTTTTTTAAAATTGTTAAAAAACCCTGTTAAAATATATCATTGAAGGCCAGACTTTGTTATAGAAATATCTCAATTTTCCAACTGACTCCTGCTTATCCCATCTTGATATGAATAACTTTTAAAAGTGTCTAAGTGATCTCTAATGGATTTAGGCACACGCAGTCTCCCTCTGTGAAAGCCATTAAATGAAATAAAATTTCACATAGCAACCTAAGCCCATCGCGTGCCTTTTTTCTATAACCCGAACCCTGGAGGACGACGGTTCTAGGGAAATCCTCTAACGCCCGATAATTATGTTGAATATTTCCTGCGATAATTGCTTGATTTGCACAATGTGTGTTGATGTTTTCATAATGGATGCTTTCGGGGCATAAATTACAAGTTGCAAAGGGGAAGGACAGCTCGTTCTATGGCTGGCATGTGGTGAACAAATGTTGCATACAGCCCGGAGTCGAGTGGCAGATTGATAAGAGTCGTGGATAGAAAGGGGGACAGAGAGGCTGCAGGGGGAGAATTAACACATTTGCGTTCGATCGGGATAATGATGATGCTGGGGTGCTTACCATAACCATAACCCTAAGCTGGGATCAGGGTGGTTTTCCCATCCCCCTGTCCCATTTCGAATTTTCTTTAGGGTGTGCCAAACAGTGGCAGCTGCCGTTGCGCAGTTATGGAAAACCCATTTCCCTCAACGCATGCGTCAATCTAGATTTATGTTCCGATGCACTTTAATAATTTTCAGTAGTTATGTCCCTTTGTTTCCCGCATCGACTGAAAAGTCCAGTTTGTTTTTCCATTTTCAAGTGCATCAAGTACGCAATGCATTGATCCTGTCAATTTTAGAGCATTCGCAATTATTTCCATTTAAGAAATTTCCCAATAACAGATCGTAATCATGTTACCTTATGAGGGTGGACTGTCCTGCAATGTCAGCTGGCCAGTTTGCGTTCAATGAGCCAGCTCCATTTCGATTTGTCCAGCATTTCCTGTACATAAATTGGTTCGATTCTGTCCCTTAATGTGTGTCAAAGAGATTAGAGTCTTTATGGACTGCAATTATTTGGGAAACTGATGTGCAATGGGTCAGGTTTCAACTACCATGGGAAAATAACATTAAAACAAACAAGAAGTTATCTCATTTAAATAAATGGCATGTGAATTAATGAAACGTGTTTGACAAAGCTTACCTATTTAGGTAAATTCAATTATATGTTAAGCTCATCAACAATAATTTTTAAAATATATTTCACAGAAATAAAAACCAATCACGAATTTGTTTAAATTATTTAATTTTTTTTTTTTTTTGAGTTAGAGACACAGACTTGATTGGCCAGGTTATAGCTTCTATGTGAAAATAGCCTTTAAAAAAATAATACTATTTAAATAAATTGCATGTGAAATATGCAACGTGTTTGACAGAGCTAAGCAATTAAAATAAATTAAATTATAGTTTTCGCTTAAAAAACTTTAGTTGTTCAATAAAATATTTTAGAAAGATAAAAGCTATTCAAAATTATGCATAAATTTGTCCGATTTGTTATTTCTTTTTACTGGGTCTCAGTACCACACACAACGCGTTCAAAATCACAGACCTGTTGAAACCAAACACTTCAACACGCCAAGCCATTGCAGCCAGTTGAGTGCAACTAAGTCCATTTAATCAGTAATTAACTCCAGTCAACAAATCAAAGTAAAGCTGACCGAGTGATTTCAATTTTAATTGCCTTAACCCTTCATCATTCGCACCAGAAGAGCACTCGGTAAACTGAGATGGGAGGAAAAAATGGTGCTAAGACCTAAGCTTACTTAATGTGACCACTTTGAGCGGTGTCGACGGCAGCGAGAGTTGCCTACTTAGCGGACATCGGGGAATACTATATATATATATACGTATATATATCACGGCGGAAAGGGAGTGACAGCGATAGGAGGACTACTCCGTAATCGGCTTAAAGCAATAAATTGTTCATGGCCCGGCTGCAGTTTCTTCTCCTCTCTGAAAGTTTAACAAAATGGCCAACAAAATGCAGCGTTTTTGTCATTCTTTTTATACTTCCTTTGGTTCTCCTATTTTGGTTTATTTTTTAACACAATTTACCACAATGATTAATCACCCGAAGGGAGGCGTTTTCCCTTCCATCCTGTTGGTAATATAATATTTGTCATAGTTCATAATTTAGATATTTTCACATCCAGAGGGGTTGAACAATGGCAAAGCGAAAAAAAGGAAATAATAAAATGTTGCAGTCTGGTAAAAAACATCAACTGCATATGTTGCACATACAGTTCAAGTGTAGTTGAGAGGGTTTTTTTTGTTTGAGGGTGGAATGGGGGGCTGAGGGGTTGAGTTTGTTTGTGTACAGTTTAGGGGTGACCACGATGATATGTCCTGGTATATTTGCCCAGTATCACTATCGATGTATCGAGGTCTTTTTTGTTTGCCCAGAGGGTTGATTCATTGCGGAACTGTCGCACTCACAGTTGTGCAGGTCAAGTTAGTAGGTGTTTCCCGGAGAATTTGTGGTTGCATTGAGCTTGGTTAACCAAAGGGGTTGGGGTGCCACCGATTTAATCAAGGGAGGGAAGCAAATAGAGCACAGAAGGATAAGTAGAATGGAGTTAAAAAGGAGTCACGATTTACTTTACAAATGAATACGGACATTTGTTCAAAACAAGTTGTTTGCACAACTGTTTTTCATAAGCCAATCATCTATGAAAAACATTGAAAGTTAGAGTGGGAATATCTTTTTCACAATCTTCATGTTTAGAGCATGTAGTTTAAATAATTTTTAAACAAATATTAAAATCGCTTTATTAACAAAAAAGTATCGAAATGATGAGTTCTGTCAATTTATTTGTTTCTGAATGTTTTCAAACATTTTTCATACATTTATATATTAGAGGCAAACAAATATATTTGGGCAAAACTTATAATTTGATAGTGGAACCTGCTCTATCACACTTCAAACCAAATCCCATTTCCCGAAAGTCATCGCAATGCATTCGAGCGTTGCCAATTAAAATGCATCAAAGGTGATTTTCGCACCTGGAGGTAGGGAATTAGAGAAGTCATCGAGGATGCAGGTTTGGCCCGATAGCAAGCCACACACAAAGCCAATTTCTTGGACAAAAGCAGAAATTTGCTTGGCAAGGATAATAGGTGGATAATTTATTGGCCATCGACCAGCATTGAGTATCGAATGGATGCATGTTGGGTGACAACTGCAAAACTGCAGCCAGATTGCCCAGATAGAGGAACGTATGCGAGGATGCGGGCTAAACTGGTATGTGAGATTGCCTGGGATGATGGGATGGAAGGCCAAACAAACGGACAAAGGACGAGTGTTTAGAGTAAACACAAAGGCGACCATAATAGAATCATAATTGCATTTTTACAACAACCCGGGGAGAATGTGCCGGATTGCGAACTCCCAACTT